GACGCGTTTCAGAAAGGCGGGGCATAGAGGAGTGTACAGTATGTACAGTATGTGGAAAATAATGTGTTTTTTGAACCTTAAACCGCATAAACACATTTCATTACACTAAATACACAAAATAATGTTCTTTTTAGCAACATCATATGACCCCTTTAAAATAAATCAATATCTTTTCCTTTGCTGTAATGGTCTTCAGCAGTTTCAATTAGCACTGACTGTAAAAACCAGAGCTGCATCCCACTTTCTGTTTCACGTATTTAGTTTCCTAATCACCAGTGTTAGCAAGTTAATTTGGTAAAGTATGTCATAACACAGAGGTAGTCTTGTATTGTCGTATATCAGAATAACGTTTCAAAATAAAGCTTACCTTAAATATTAGCAAAAATGTAAATATTTACTTTAAAACAATGAAAAAAAAAAAAAACATTTACTTTGGCATAATATTTTAGTAGTATTACTAATTTTTTACAAAAAGTTATAATTATACTTGCTTGTAGTTTTTTGTACCTCAATGTGCAAATAATCATGAAAAAAATTCTCTGTTCAGCTAATTTTAAACAAAAATGTGTCAAATTGACCCCTACCACAACAGAAATAACACAATAAAAGAGATGAGAATCATTACATTTCTCACATTTAATTTTTATTCTCTGACAAGCTACAACAGTGGTTTTCTGTTTTTGCATGAATCTAGTGCCCTAACGCAAAGGTTGTACCTAGTTTTTGAACTCAACAGAAGGGTTGAGATGTGTACACTCGCATGTATTCAAGGTGTAGGGGAAATGTTACTACTTTTTACTTGATGGTTACATCACATGACATTTTAGAGACATTAAATGAAACTTTGAAAATGGTATAAACGTTTTGCAAAATCCTATGAAATCAAAATGAATACAAAGGGTACATTTCTTATTTGGCAAATGCTTTTTACTTTGCATTTTTCAAAATATTTTCCTTTATTGTGGGCACTGTTATGTAATTATGTCATTGACACTTGTGTGTAATTTAAAGCCAAACTATATTTTTGTGAAGTTTTTGTTTTATTTTAATTTAATGCAGTGTATATACTGTATGTATACTGTATGTATATCATTATTCCTGTCAGTAATTGAGACTCCCTTTTCTTCAGGCTACATCCTCAGTCTGGTGTTGTTGACTTTACCCCGGCAGCATCTGGTGCAGCTCTACCTCTATGTGCTCACAGCTTTTCTGCTCTTCGCTGGGCACCAGCTCTCCAGGTCTGTGCTCACAGCACCCCATGCTCGACTGTACACAAACACAATGACACGTTGGTTTTGAAGTGCTGACATGTTGACATTACTTGTACACACACTCACATTAAATCTAGTTGCAGTGTCACTCATTATTACCGATAAAAAAGTGCTCATCACATTTTGAATTGTTTAGTGCTGTTTAGTACTTATCATGACTGTCAAACAGACAGTGCTCAATGACTGGTGTTCCTGCAGGGATTATGTACGTGGAGAGCTGGACTCGGGTTACGAGGGACCCCTCTACCTGGAGCCACTGTCCATGAACCGCTTTACCACGGCACTCATTGGTATGTCCTGCATTATCAACTCCAAAACAACACCATTTTGTTCTCTTTACTGCTGCAGGGATGAGTTACTCGCAACTGGTGTCGTGTTACTGAACTTCGGTTCCCACCCTTGCTGGAAAAGAGACCTGACTGCTGAACTATAACACAGAATCTGAAAAAGAAGAAACCAGATCTCGGTGTGCTCAATTTGCTAATGAATTAGAGGCCCTGTGAAATACTTCCAGTTTTACTAATGAGGCATTTAGGAATGGAATGGCGTGCAGCCATCTCGATCCAAGAAAAACAGCCTTGAATACATTTCTAACTGATTTAATTGATTTAAAAGAGTGAAACTTCATCCCAAGGTAGTAAAACCCAAGACACTGTCACCTAATCATCTTTTATCAACATATGTAGTAGAGGTAGCATATGGAATATCAGTTTGACAGGTCATCCATGGCATCGAGAGTTGGATAAAAGAGAAGTAAGCTAAAACAGGAGCAACTCTACAGTAGAACAAAAATAGCCTAATGCGTTTCTGCTCGGTTCTGTATCAAGGATTGTTTTTTTTATAATTTTAGGATGTACAGTACTACAGGAGCTCTGACGTATGTAACTTGTTTCAGTAAATTCACAATTTACAAATTCCCTGACATTTCCTGGAAAACCATGAAAAATAAGGGTTTGGAAAAATCATGGAATCCCTATAATAGAATTTTTGCAAAATACTTTAGAAAAATTCTATAAATAGGTTTTGAATTTAAAATAGGCTTTTTGTAGAAAAGTCTGTGTAGAATGTTTAAACTTCCTGGGAAAGTCCTGGAAATAGTAATAATAATAAAAAAAGTCATGGACAAGTCACAGAAATTTCTTGGAAAATAATAAATATAATTTTTTGTAGATATGCCAAACTCTAAAATATTTCAATAGGTAGAAATTAGTTTTTGTGAGTAATTATCACATAAAATGTCATGGAAATAATAATAATAAAGTAACAGAAATGATTGATTTATTTTTTCTAAAATACTTTTAAAATATTCTAAAGTAGGTCTTAAGCTGTAAAATATTTCAACTGGAAAGGTTGAAAGTCATGTTTAATCAAATATTTACCTCAGACTTTCTTTATATCCAGATATTTAATCCTCAAAATCTCTGTATTATATAAAAGAATCACACTGCAATATGTTTAGCACAGTTCACAAAGACAGCAGCACCGCAGGGAAGCTTCCTCATTTTACTTGAAATTAAACCATTTGAATAGAAAATATTCATAGGCAAAATCTGTGTTCTTTGCTGACCAGACGAATGAAGATCTAAGGCCCCGCCCGTCCACACGGAGACGCGTTTAGCTGTATACGCATACATTTTGTATCGTATAGGCGTTTCGTCCACACGGATCCGGCGTTTTGGGAGAGTGAAACCGATATTTTTTGAAACCGGGTCCCAGAGTGGATAAATCTGAAAACGCCGCCATTGCGTTTTCGTGTGGACAGCGAATCCATATATTCCATTATATACAGGAATTAAGTTAGCTGCTATTTGCAATTGTTTAATTTAATAGTAATAATAATAATAATTGAATACTGTTATTTTTAATTTATGAGACACTTTGTTAGTAGCTTGTACCTGCGATTGTTCATCACGCAATGTCATCACAACATCATTTAGCAACTTTTAGCAACAAATCAACCTTCCTTTAGCAACTTCCCCTGAAAATTAGTTGGCAACACTGGGGGGGGGGAAAGATCGGATAGGGAAAGCTCTGGCTTCGTGTGGACGTAGCCTACGATAAAACAACTATTAGCCTTTTGAGTAGTCATGTCAAGTAACATGCCATGTCAGTGGTGCCACAGTCTGTATGCAGAGCCCATGTACTACGTCCCCTTTGGTAACACCGATATCGTGAGAAACTCTTTGCAATATAATTTGTACGTCATTAAATTCTTTAGGCCTTGTGATAGCAGCTGATTTGTGTGATGCAACGGAGTTGAACAGAAAAGTTATTCAGTTATTCATTTGAATCGACACTCTGAAATGACACTGATCTTTTTATATCTAAATACAAAAGTTTCATCCCTTCTGACAGTGAAAAGAGACCAAACTGATAGACGCATAACTTCAGTAGTTTAACTTAAAATTTGATTTGAGTCAAATTCAGATGATGTCTTTTATTTGCCATGTCAACACGGCAAAGCCGACCACATTGTGAGCACTCCCACTGGGAACGTTCAAAGCACCTTTTTAAAGGAAACATTGAGGTGTGTTAGTGTGGTTTTTCAGTGCATCTGTAAGTTAGTGTTTGTTCAGTAAGACTATCCTCTCCCTCAGGTCAGGTCGTGGTGTGTACGCTGTGTTCCTGCGTCATGCAGACCAAACAGATCTGGCTGTTTTCTGCACACCTGCTCCCTCTAGTGGCTAGACTGTGCCTCGTGCCCCTGGAGACCATCGTCTTCATCAACCGCTTTGCTATGATCTTCACCGGTCTGGAGGTGCTCTACTTCATCGCCTCCAACCTACTGGTGCCATACAATCTGGCCAAAACTGCCTACAGAGAGCTGGTGCAGGTACGAGTTTTATAGGTGTAGAGAGTGGGGTAAGATGTGTCGCCGCCTCAATTCCACAAACTGCAATATTTTTCTCATGTGATCATGTGCATTTTTTTTTACATGTGAAATTACTTTTCTACACGGAAGATATATATATATTTTTTTTTTAGGCAAATTTGTATAAAAATGTCTTAGAAAACCCATATTACCCTGCCTTTTAAAAAGTTTGTTGTTGGTTTGTAATGTTTTCGAAAATAGTGTCTTATCCTCACCAAAGCTGCATTTATTTGATCAAAAGTACAGTAAGAACAGTAATATTGTCGAATATTAATAAAACGTATGTTTTAATGTATTTTAAATTTAAATTGGTTCCTGTTATGGCAAAGCTGAACTTTAATGTCATGATCCTTTAGAAATCATTAGAATATGCAGATTATATGATACCCAAGAAAACAGATGTGCTGCTTGGTATTTTTGTGGATTTTTTTTTTGAGTCTTTGATGAATAGAAGGTTCAAAATGACACCTTTCGTATAGAAGTCTTTTCTAACATTATAAATGTATTTACTGTCACTTTTGTAGTTTTTGACTGTTTATTTGTCTTCAGTAAGATTGAGTTGTTGTTGTTTTTTAAGCTTGTGTGAGTTGGACTAGTATTATTGTTTTTGTGATATTGAAATTGATGATGAGAATTATGACATTTTAAATGGTATCAAAAAAATGGATATAAAAACCTTACTTAAAGCAAAAATAACTATCATGATATGTATATATTGTCATTTAAATAAAATTTCTCACATTGTGATATAAGACTTTAGAATATCAAACTTTGTTGGTTTGTGAATAATGTGAAGTAAAATAAGATGTTTTTGAAATGTAAATGGTTCACATTTTCATCCTACCAGCCAGTATTTGAACTTTTTTTTTGTAACATCCCCCTGTTTCTTGTGCTGTTCTGTAGGTGGTGGAGGTGTATGGTTTGCTGGCTCTGGGCATGTCTCTGTGGAATCAGCTGGTTCTGCCTGTTCTCTTCATGTGCTTCTGGCTGGTGCTGTTTGCACTGCAGATCTACACCTACTTCAGCACACGGGACCAGCCGCCCTCCCGAGAGAGGCTGCTCTTCCTGTTCCTCACCAGGTCTGACTGCTGCAACATATAGTCCAGCTACTGAGTCACACTGTTTTTAATCAGCACAAAGGTTAGCGTCTAGACTAGGGATGCTAATGATTGATTGTCGATAATAATTTGTGACAATGACAATTATCGATGTTCGACTAAGCACAGTAGTTTTGGGGTTTGTGCGGTTCATGCACAAAACGTGCTGCAGACACATGAGGAAACTACAGGTGAGAGTGATGGGCTGGATCTCTTGTGCAAATAATTCACAATGTACAAATTATGCTTTTAATGTGATCCAGACTTTAAAAGTCTATAAAATATAAACTACAAAAATAGAAATAAAATGTTTTCTCCCAGTATTCCAGGGCAACTGACACCATTTGTAAACAGTCAGAAAAGTGAATTATACTTTCCGCACAAGCAAGGATGTTGCACTTTTAGGGGAAAGCAGCAGTGGTGGTAGTGGTTAGTCATACTTCCTTGCACAGCCCTACGTGTTTTAGTTACGTTTGGGATCATTTTACTTTAAATGGTGATAATGTTAATTGCAAACATTTTGATTGTGTTTCTAAAATGCAATACAACAATGAGCACCATGATACCATTTAAAAATGACGCATTCAGCGGTCTCAGTGACAGGATATGAAACAGCCAACAATAACCTTGATTTAAAAAAAAAAAAAAGGATTCCAAACATAACTACGGCGCGCTTTGAGTGGCACTTACATTTATTCATTTGGCAGACGCTTTTATCCAAAGTGACTTACAGTTGAGGAATACAACAGGAATACAATTTACCATAAGATGGCAATAAACACGAGAAGTGCCCGTTATGCAAGGTTTCAGTCATCGTTTAAAATAGTAAAAGCTAGGACAGGAAGGGATAAAGGATAATAAGAGAATAGAAAAAGTGAAGGCATAGAATTTTTTTTTTTCTTTTTTTTTTACGAGGAGGCAGTTAGATGCTCACTGAAGAGATGAGTTTTCAGTTGTTTCTTGAAGATTGTCAGGGTTTCGGCTGTCCAGATAGAGATAGGCAGGTCTTTCCATCAACAGGGTGCGGTTAAAGAAAATGTCCTAGATAGTGATTTTGTGCCTCTCTGTGATGGGACCACAAGCCGCCGCTCATTTACAGACCGCAGGCTTCTGGAGGGGATGTAGACGAGTAGGAGAGAGCAGAGGTAGGAGAGTGTGGAGCCCATGGCTGTTCTGTAGGCAAGCACTATCTTGAACTAGATGCGAGCAGCAACTGGAAGCCAGTGCAGAGAGATGAGAAGCGGTGCGACATGGGCTCTCTTGGGCTCATTGAAAACAAGACCTGCTGCTGCATTCTGAGTCATTTGCAGAGGTCTAATTGCACATGCTTGAAGTCCAGCCAAAAGAGCATTACAATAGTCCAGACTAGAAATGACATGGGCCTGGACGAGAAGCTGTGTTGCATGCTCTGTTAGGAAGGGTCTGATCGTCCTGATTTTGTGTAGTGCGAACCTGCATGATCGTGCTGTTTTTGCAATGTGATCTTTAAAGGTCAGCTGATCGTCAAGAATAACCCCAAGATTCCTGGCCGAACACGATGGGATTATCGTTGAGGAGCCGATTACAGGATTTGCACATCCTGTAATGCCGGTGACTATACACTGCAGTAGACGCATTTTGAAGTGTTAGGGTTAGCGATTAATCGATCAATTGATTGATTGTTAATTTAATTGACGATCGATCATGGGAGTGATCATAAATTGACATCCCTAGTCTAGATATAAACCAGAATGCATTGCAACAAGGATTTGGAATTGCGGAAAATAGGACAGTAGAAATCGAAATCACCATTAGGGCTGTGCGATATTGAAGAAAAATGCAATATGCGATACCTTGTTAAATAATGCGATATTCGATATGCGATACGATATTGCTTTAAGTGTGCAAAATCAATTTAATTTATATTTTAAAATATTTAAAAATATATATATGTTTCACATTGATTCTTTCTTGGAAAAGAAAACATCAGTACAACTTCTGAAAGTGACGAACAGTGTTTTAGCATGTTTTAACAAATCTGAAAATGTAATTTTAACATCAATGTAAACAAAACAAAAAAATGAATGCCACTTATTTTATATCTATGTAGCTGCGTCCCAAATGACGCACTATACACTATGCACTCATACACTATGTACTTATGCACTATGTACTCAACCATGTGTAGTATATTATATAAGGTTATTTTGTCATTCATAATCGGAGTCTCATAGCTCCTCCCCCTTCGGTACGTAATTAAAGCTGCGACAATTGAGTGCATGAAGTGTCCAACATTCCACACTTCATTTTTTCGGTTATTTAAGTGCATCATCCGGGTATTTAAAGTGTACTTTTTCTTTTTGGAATTTTCAGTGTGAACGCACTACTCGCACTATTTATACTACAAAACGTCATAGAATAGTGCATAAGTACACGATTTGGGACGCACCTTGTAACTTTGTTTTTTTGTTTATTACTTAAAGTACACTTTTTAAGTACTTCAATACCACAGTAAAAACTATAGCAAACATGATTAAAGGCAAGTGAGCAGTCAGTAAAAAAATAAATAATAAATATAAGATCAAAAACACCAATTAAAAGCATAGATCAAGGGTGGGCAAACTTGGCCCTTCCAGGTCACTTTCCTTCCGAGTTTAGCTCCAACTCTAATCAAACACATCTGAATCAGCTAATCATTGTCTTCAAGACTACTAGAAAGCTACAGGCAGGTGAGTTTTATCAGGGTTGGATCAAATCTCTGCATGAAAATGGCCTGGAAGGGCCAAGTTTGCCCATCACTGGCATAGATAAATACAATATAATGGTTACAAATAAAATAAGGTCTAACAGTTGTATTCAGGTATAGAAATGTAATAATTAAGTGTAAGATACTGCATAGTGTTCACTGTATAAATTAAATTTAGATTAATCTTTGTTAAAGCTGTGTTTTGTTGTTTGATTAACATTACGAGTGTTTACGAGAATGATTGTGGAGACGGGAACTTTGACATAATTCTGTGTGTATGTGTCTGTTTAAAAGTAAGGAGATGTGAAAGACGAATCAACTATGTTCGCGGGGTGGGAAATGCGTCTCTGTGTGCGCGTGCGCACACTTTAGGTCCAAGATGCGGCTTGTGCGCGCTTCAGCTGTGTGTCAGACAGCAAGACGAGATGGCAAAGAGTTGTTTTCTGCAATTTATTGCACTTGATAACTCTTTTTAACATCAACCAAGTCAGTCTCGTGCCCAGTCTATTCACTGCTGTATGTGTCGACCTAAAACTTTGACTTTTTGCATCGTTTTGAAGTAGCCTATTATTAAAATGATTCAGATATCGCATGCCATTGCGAAATGCATTTCGCGATATTTCGATAATTTCGAGATATCATGCAGCCCTAATCACCATTTAACAATATGTAGCATATGTAAATGTTTTGTTGGTTGTGTGTGTTCTCTGCAGTATCGCTGAGTGCTGTAGTACTCCTTACTCTCTGCTGGGGCTGGTCTTCACTGTGTCTTTTGTGGCGCTGGGCGTCCTCACCCTCTGCAAGTTCTACCTACAGGGTTACAGAGCTTTCATGAATGACAACACCATGCACAGGTGAGAAACATCCACTCAAAGATGCTTACAGTACTCCAGTTCAAAACAACTTTTTTTGCAGGTACTTTAAGAGTGTATACAGTAGTTTCTTTCTCATCTGGTTTTCAGGGGCATGACGGAGGGTATCACTCTGCTGATCTTGGCTGTTCAGACTGGGCTCATTGAGCTGCAGGTCATTCACAGAGCTTTCCTCCTCAGCATCATCCTCTTTGTTGTGGTGGCTTCCATCCTGCAGTCCATGCTGGAGATCGCCGACCCCATAGTTCTGGCACTGGGGGCCTCCAGAGACAAGTAAGAGCCTCGGCACCTCCTGCATACTTCACGCCTGTTCAGAATACATCTCTCCTGCAACTTTCAGACAAGGCTTGTTATGTGAAACGGCACATATGTAAATTATTTACAAAAGTTTTTTTTTTTGTTTTTTTTTTTTTTTAGCCTGATGGCAGATTTTTGACATTTTCTATATGGTTGGAAAGTTTATTTATTTTTACTGTTTTAATGTATTAATTTAATTTAACAATTGAACTAGCTTCCAAAAAAAGTCTAGTGACAGTATAAACCAGAGTAAATGTTAACATGCATTATTTTTTAATTTACTTTTTTACTAGTTTTGATAGGCCTTTTAATTAGGAAATAACATTGTTAGGGCACTCTCCGAGTACTGGCTGGGCGATATGTGTGATTTTCTATCTATGTTGAGCATTTCTTGTATCCTCTGTTGTTGCAGGAGTCTGTGGAAGCACTTCCGAGCAGTGAGTCTGTGTCTTTTCCTGCTGGTCTTCCCTGCTTACATGGCTTACATGATCTGCCAGTTCTTCCGCATGGACTTCTGGCTGCTCATAATCATCTCCTCCAGCATCCTCACGTCACTGCAGGTACACAAAGCTCACACACAGCAAATACAAATGAACAGTCGCTATCACAACACATAGAGACTATTGCATTGTCAAGCTTTGTTTAAAGATGAAGTGGTATATTAGTATATATCCGTTGATCAACCGGACATTTATGATGGGTTGTCTACCTTAGTTATGGAAACAGAAATAAATAGTGTTTCAGAAGCAGAATTTTTTTTTGTCTTGAATATTTTGCACAATAAAACCGGGGATATTTAAGAAAGTAAAAACAAAAGAAATAAAAATAAAAACATACAATTAAATTTTTTAGTTCAGCTCATGAAAAATGGGGGCAAAAACAAAAGTGTTGCGTTTATAATTTTGTTCAGTGTATATATATTTATATATATATATATATATATAGAGAGAGAGAGAGAGAGATACTGAAAATATGTATACGATCTATACATTTACAAATGCATATAAATAATTTAAAGGTATTATGTAATATAATATAATTAATGTAATGGATTACCCTCTCTCAGGTTCTTGGCACCCTTCTGATCTATATCCTCTTCATGGTGGAGGAGTTTCGTAAGGCTCCTGTTGAGAACATGGATGAAGTCATCTACTGTGTCAATGGGACCTACCGGCTCCTGGAGTTCCTGGTGGCTGTCTGCGTGGTGGCCTACGGTGTTTCAGAGACCCTGTTTGGAGAATGGACTGTAATGGGCTCCACCATCATCCTGGTTCATTCCTACTATAACGTGTGGCTAAGGGCCCAGCTGGGCTGGCAGAGCTTCCTGTTGCGCAGAGATGCAGTTCACAAGATCCAAAGCATGCCCACTGCTTCCACATTACAACTCCAGCAACATAATGACATCTGTTCTATCTGCTTTCAGGTAAGGGATTGTTTAAGATGTTTTCAGTGCATTTATTCACAACACAAGTTTTTTATTATTTAATGAATATTTTTGTTCTATACCAGGTTAGAGGGTTTACTGTGTAACTGAGAAAGAATGTATTTACTATGCACTCTTCAAAATCATTCCAAAAGGGGATTTTTGGTACCCCAATGAATCTTTCAGTGATCAGTTCTTAAAAGAACCATTTTATTCTTAGTATAAAGAATATTTTAATAATCTGAACAACCATTTTTGCTCTGAAAAGTTTTCATGCATATTAAAGGTTATTTGTGGAACCACTAATGACAATAAAGAACCTTGATTGAATAAAAATGAACAATATACCCAGATGAATCAGAATCATAATTGAATCATATCAAGAGATTGTGAATCGTAGCCAAATGTGGAAATCTTTATTGATATCAATACCAATACAGTGGACACTGAATCTGAATTTGCTCTTGCTAGCCTTTAAACCATTTCCTCATTTGTCAACATGTTCATAATTTCACTTCTTATCTTGGCTGCCTAGTTTTAAACATTGCTTCTCACTTCCATCCTTCAATTCCAGGATATGAAGTCTGCTGTCATCACGCCATGCAGCCACTTTTTCCACGCTGCCTGCTTAAAAAAGTGGCTGTACGTGCAAGAAACGTGTCCTCTGTGCCACGGGCAGCTCAAGAGCCAGTTACAGCCAACTAGCTCTCCAGGTGCCACCACCCAAGGCACTCCACCAGCCAATCAGAACCCAGCAGAGGTGGAACAGGAGCAGGGTGAACCACAGGTTGAGTTGGACACTGAGGAAGGCACCCAAGCAAAAAACCCTCCTCCCGTAAAAACTTCAGCCAAGACAGAGCTTGGAACGGACTTGCTATCAGGGAGATCAAAAATCCAGCCTAAAGAATGTGATGTAGCGGCAGAGGGCAGCGCCGAGCCAGTTGGTGATTTGGATGATGGTTCGTGCAGCACATCACATGTCCATTCCTCTTCATGAGCACATGCCAAGCCTACCTTCAACTCTTATCAGCCTGTTAGGTGTCGCCAAAAACATTTCAAATTGCCAATGTTGACGACTCCATTAGAAGATGGTTAAAGGGATGGTTTACCTTTTTTAAAATAAAAGTTCTGTCATCATTTACTCACACTCTTGACGTTCCAAAGCCTTTTTGTGGAACACAAAAGGAGATATTTAGAAGTTATTTTCCATATAATGTAAAGGGGACAAAGGCTGTTAAATGAGAGCTTGTTTCCACCATAGAATAAAAAATAGTTGCAACTGTTTATCTGAAAATTTTGATTTTCTCACAATTCTAGGAAAAAAAATTGCAGAATTGCAAAATATTAACGCTCAATTCTGAGTTTACATCTGACAGTTGTGTTTTGTTTTTTTTCACCATAGAATAAAAAAGGTGTATATCTCACAATTGACACTTTTTCTCAGAATTGCAAGTTAACATCACATAACATTTTTTTTCTCTGAATTCTGAGTTCACATCTTGTACTTGTTTTTTTCCTTCTTTTCTGCCACGGAAGGCAATTGCGACTTTTTATCTCAGAATTATTGCAGTTTATATCTCACAGTTGACTTTTTTACTCAGAATTGCGAGTTTATGAGGAAAAGAAGTCAGAATTGTGAGATGAAAAAGTTGCGAAAACTTTTTTTTTTTCTTCCATACTGTGAAGTTATAAAAATGACAAAAAATATCTCCATATAAGTAGTTTATACAATTCAAAGTCTTCTAAAGCTAGGATTACTTTGTGTAGGGAACAGACCAATTTGAAGTTGTTACTGAAAACATTAAAATTTATTTTTTATGTTTTTTATAATCTGCTAAACTTCTCCTTTTGTGTTCCACAAAAGAACATTGTACGACTTTGAAATGGCATGAGTAAAGGATGACACAATTTAAACTTTTGGAATGAACTGTCCCTTTAAGCTGGTCACATGTCTCTCAGCTCATGGATGCATTTCATATGATCTGTTCACATTATTGCTGGTCAAAAGACATTTCAGAAAACTGCCCTACAGAGACAAAACATAGTAACTACACATTTAGTTTGTGTTAAAATTGAGTTACTAAAATAGGCTCTTAAATACTATGATATCTACTGTGACAGATGGGTTTGGCACAACTAAGCGCCGATTCAGAAAAGAGTGTAACAATTCAATCAAGAAACATTTTTCTGTTTGAGTGCTGGTGTAGGTTCAGCATTTTGCCTTTGTAGGGCAGAATAGTTTTCAGTATGTGTCCATTTGACTGAAAATGAGCGTCATCTCTATGGAAGTAATGGATGATTCATGATTCTTACGCTTTACTATTTTGTAGAAGTGTGTGTGTATAAATGTTTTGGAAGTGCATCCCAAATGAGTTACTGTAGAATCCAGACCCCTGCAAAGTCAAACTGAGGAATGTTATTTAAAGTGCCATTGAGCCAGTTCATTTATATTTTATCACAGCGAGCCTTTCATTATTTGCCCCAGTTTTATAGGGATGTTCGAAGCTATGTGGCTTTTTTCATATATATTTTTGTCACTCTTTACCATGTGTCAGAAATAATGTTAAATCATCACTGCGGAAAACGTTAAATTGTCAGTTTGGCGGTTGACTTGATTCCTGGAAGCGAGCATTTTCAAAAGCATATTGCGGACTATATAGACTAAACCTGTTTTCTGGTTTTAATGAACATTTAGTGAGTAGACAATCAATTCAATACATTTCTTTTTTTATTAATATTCAGCAGATGATCCATTAAGGCCATCTTAGGTTTGCCCAGAGTAAAACTGGAATGTTTCTTTCAGTGAGTGATGTTTAGGGTTGAAGCTCAAAATCAAGTCGTATTTCAGTTTTTTTTTTTATATAATATAAAGTCATGTTTTCTTTTACATCACGTGGATGGTCGGGTGCGTGCGTCACTTACCTAGGGAACACATGGCACCAGGATGCACTGGCAATGTTCTGAGGGGAAACCTTGGGGGTCCTGCCATCCATGTGGATGTTACATTGACACGTACCACCTACCTAAGCATTGTTGCAGACCATGTACACCCTTTCATAGAAACGGTATTCCCTGGTGTCTGTGGCCTCTTTCAGCAGCATAATGCACCCTGCCACAAAGCAAAAATGGTTTAGGAATGGTTTGAGGAGCACAACAACGAGTTTGAGGGGTTGACTTGACCTCCAAATTCCCCAGATCTCAATTTAATAGAGCTTCTGTGGGATGTAAAGTCATCATTCATGGCTGTGACATAACTAAAACCTGTTTGCTCTTATAGAAAAAAAAAGCAAATAGAAAAGCTTCTCTTTTCCATCTTAACATAAAACCCATCATGAGGAAAAGAAACCTGCACACCTCAAGTGACATCATGGGGTCTTTAAATGAACTCTGCCCTGTCAAACCACTCGGGAGACATCAATATTTAACTAAAATGCTTTACTAAATTACTAACAAGAGAGATGGATGTTCTTTGAAGTCCAAAGCAGCCCACAACAATCCCATCTAGAATCCCCAGAGAGAACGACAGTGAGACAAGAGAGATACAGGAGAAGATTAGTAAGATGTGACAGGCCACAGTGCCTCATTGCACCCTTCCTTGTCTGTTCCTCATCCTCTTCTTCCTCTCGAGCTCCCACGCTTTTCTGCCAATCTTCCAACAAGATGTCTGCCGAATGGGGGTGGACAGGAAGGGGGTGTTTTTATTGGTGGATGGCTCAGGGAGGGAGGTTTTTACTGGTGGATGGCTTGGGGCCTGTAAAGTATGTTTAACAGGACTGGCTGGCTGTAAAGGTGCTGTTAAGTGTAGTGAAGCACGGTGACGGGGCAGTGGATACGGAGGAATAGGGGACTTTTGGGAGGATTTGGCACCGAGAGCTGGCAGACACTCCACAGTACATGAACACACATGGGCAGACAAACACAAATGGTGAGTTAGCCGACAAGATATTTCAGTAGATAAACGCAAGAAAAAAAATGTAGAGGCAAAGAGACAACACAAAAACACACAAATAAAGAATAACATTATTTCAGTTTTTTTTTTTATATATATATATATATAAATTCTTGAAAGGTTTGAGATTCACCTTAATATTGGCTGTTGACTAAGCAGTTTATATCATCAACAGCACTTAATTTAGTCACTGCAGACTTATTTTTGCCATTATTTTGTCAGGAACACTCTTCATGGTGTTCCTTACACTCAATTTTGTTTGCCAGGGATGTCATGCCATACTGTATGTTTGCACTAATGTCATTTATAGCGAATAATATTTTGTCTTGTTGGGCAACAAATGCTTACAGAGCAGATGAAGTATAGCTCATTATAAATGTGTACATATATGGGCAAATATATTCCTTTGTATATTCTTTTATCATGTTTTTGATATGCCGCACAGTGTTAAAGCAGCAGTGAACATAATGAAGTGTCTTGAGGATCGTGTGAACACGCTCAAAAGTGGGATTGATCCTAAAGATGCAGAAATGTTTTGTTTTTGCTGGGTTTTTTTTTTTTAAGAGATTCATTTCAGAATGGCAAATTTGTGTGCATGAATACATCTGATGTATGAGCAAACGATGCACTGGCAATGTTCTGAGGGGAAACCTTGGGGGTCCTGCCATCCATGTGGATGTTACATTGACACGTACCACCTACCTAAGCATTGTTGCAGACCATGTACACCCTTTCATAGAAACGGTATTCCCTGGTGTCTGTGGCCTCTTTCAGCAGCATAATGCACCCTGCCACAAAGCAAAAATGGTTTAGGAATGGTTTGAGGAGCACAACAACGAGTTTGAGGGGTTGACTTGACCTCCAAATTCCCCAGATCTCAATCTAATAGAGCTTCTGTGGGATGTACTGAACAAACAAGTCCGATCCATGGAGGCCCCACCTCGCAACTTACAGGACTTAAAGGATCTGCTGCTAACATCTTGGTGCCAGATATCACATCTTCAGGGGTCTAGTGGAGTCCATGCCTCAACGGATCAGGGCTGTTTTGGCAGCAAAAGGGGGACCAACACAATATTAGGAAGGTGGTCATAATGTTATGCCTGATCGGTGCCATTCATTGCAAAAACACTTGAACGAGTTGTGTTCAACCAAGTCTCTGCCTTTCTCACAAAGAACAACCTCCTGGACAGCAACCGGTCTGGCTTCCGAAGTGAACATTCAACCGAGACTGCGCTGCTCTCGGTTGTTGAAGTCCTAAGACTTGCAAGAGCGGCTTCGAAATCTTCAATACTCATTTTGCTGGATCAGTCCGCTGCTTTTTACACAATTAACCACCAGATCCTCCTGTCAACCCTCATGGCAAAGGGCATCTCACAAATCGCACTCCAGTTGTTCGAGTCTTGCCTCTCAGATAGGTCCTTTAAGGTATCTTGGAGGGGTGATGTGTCCAATTCACAACATCTAGCTACTGGGGTGCCTCAGGGCTCAGTTCTTGGACCACTTCTCTTCTCTATCTACGTGGTATCACTAGGTTCTGTCATTCAGAAACATGGCTTTTCATATCATTAGAATGTCTTACAGGCATTTCTTGCTGGATGAAGAACCATCACCTTTAACTCAACCTTGCCAAGACAGAACTGCTTGTGGTTTCAGCCAACCCAACACTTCATCACAATTTCTACATCCAGCAAGGCGCATCAACCATACCTCCTTTCAGGACAGCCAGGAACCTTGGAGCTTAATTTCACAGACCACATTGTTAGAACTGCCTGGTCCTGCAGATTTGCCTTATACAACATTAGGAAGATCAGGCCCTTTTTATTGGAACATGCTAGACAATTCCTTGTTCATGCTCTTATTCTGTCCAGGCTGGACTATTGCAACGCTCTCTTGGCAGGTCTTCTAGCCAGTTCTATCAAACCTCTGCAACTAAACCAGAATGCGGCAGCAAGAGTAGTCTTTAATGAGCCAAAAAGAGAGTATGTCACACCTCTGTTCATCAACTTGCACTGGCTACCAATAGCTGCTCGCATAAAATTCAAGGCATTGATGTTTGCCTACAAAACAAGCACTGGCTCTGCACCCCTTTACCTAAATTCACTACTTTAGACTTATGTGCCCTCCAGAAGCATGCGTTCTGCAAGTGAGTGGTGCATGATAGAGTCATCCCTAGAGGCACAAAATTACTTTCACAGACTTTTTACCTTAACTGTTCCATGTTGGTGGAATGACCTGCTCAACTCGATCTGAGAATCTTCAAGAAATGGCTAAAGACACGTCTACTTTTTTCAAAATTATTATTAAAAAAATAACTTGACCCTCTAACACTAGCTCTATCTACTATATTTCTTTTCTATCTACTTATTCTTTTTTATTTACACAAACCTCTGCAAC